CATTAAACAGTCACAAAACATGTTTTTAGCAAGGGCGAATACAATATAAATATATACAAAATAATTCATCAAGTGTTGTGCATTGCCAGACAATAAAATAAAGTAAGTCATATAAAGTAGAATAAAAATATCAGTTCTTATTATCTAGGGTATCAATTATTGCTGTAAAAACAACCTAATTATGTAAATAGTTGATTTAATGGAAAATTATTTTTGCTTTTAAAATCTGGATTTATTATAAAATTTTTACCATCTTCTAAATTGACTCATACTGAAGCCATATTGAATCTGATAATTCACATAAATCTAGACATTCATATGAATACTTTTTACTTCACTGTCCATCTTACGGCTCTAAATAAATTATATTATTTTTAGATATAAAATTTAATAGAAGATTATTTTTCCTTTGAAAATCTGGACTTATTAGAAGATTTTTATCATCTTCACAATCAAGATCTATGAAATTGTTTAGGAGTATCATCTTCTTTTTGTTTAATTTAATTTTAGTAAAAAAAAATGGTTTTAAAAATTATCAGGCCTTAATTTAAAATTATTTATTGAAATATCTTTATAAATTACATTAAAATTCATTTTTATTTACATTCGGTACAACAAATAAGGTTAAGTTGGACATAACTAACAAAATAAAAAATTTCATAACATTGAACAAAGATTGGCAATGAAAACAAAAAATTAAAATACATAGCAACCAAAATTATTAAAAAGTAATTACAATTTAAAAATTCCTTCAATAAAACATAATTATTGTAAACTTTTTCAGAACTCTAATTAATAATAATAAATCATTGAACTTTTTCAGGTATTTAAAGGTTCAATTTACTCTTCCATTCGCAGCGGTTATTTTTTTCATCGAAGCAAGTATGATGAGGACAGGGCTGATGATGTAACTCACTGAAGCTACCGTCGGGACCTTCAGAACACATAACAAATCCGCAAGTTTCTGGATTTCGGACGTTTCCAGCTTTGGTGCACAGATGAGAGGTTGGTTCTTCAGAATAAAAATCATTGGGCTCTTCTCTATTACGTTGATCACCTTCTTTAGGATTATATTCCGCGTCGTTTGAGGAATTTTCGTCCTCTGAGCCATTACTACCCTCTTCTGCACCACCCTCAACGCTTCCCGGCATTTCTTCTACAGGATTACCATCATCAACAACTTCGTCAGTATCACTCGGCTCCATGGACATAGGAACGTCAACATCGACGAACCCAGCTTTGAAGTACAAAAATGAAGGTTAGTTTAAATAATTGAATTGAAGCTTATTACTTATTTAATAAATTACTTACAGTTATCATCGGAAGGGTAGGCCGCGGCCAAACAAAGAGTCGCCAGAAGAATAATGAAACGCATCTGGAATAAAAATATAATGATCAGTTAATCTATTTCTTCTTTCTAACCTAGTCGATTGAAACAAGGCAAGTTTTATTAAAAGTAACTAGTTTTTGGAATTTAACGATGGATAATTAGCAAACAATTAACTAACCTTGTTGCTCAGAAGTAACCTGCTGATGTGATAAATTCCCAGGGTGTCCCGCGCTATTTATACAACTCGCTATCATAGTAGTCACTAGGATGGCGACAACAAGATTTATTGATGATTACAATAGTCCAAATATCGGTATTTATTCAATCAAATTTATTTCTTTTTACAATAAAATACTTAACTCCGTCGAAATTGATGACCGACAGATTGATTTATTGGATTCGTTCTTGTTGGTTGATAAATTAACTATTAAAGATTTGGAGGTTAAAAAAATATTTATTTATTTAATTTGTTTTAGGCGAGTGAGAAAAATTAACAACCGAAACCGCAACAGAGGATCAAAAAATTGTAACTTTCAGCAGAGAGGACCTTTAAGGTTAAGATTGTTCTAAGGGTCAGTTGCAGAAGGGCAGCCATTGTTGTGATTGTTGCAAACCGAAAAGTGTTAGTCGAGTGTAAACATATGACACGCGCAGGTGTGCAGTGTAAATATGTTTATGAATAATAGCAGTTAAATATTATATAATAAATACAACAGGTGAGTCTGATAAGATAAATTATATTTTCAAGGTTTACAGAGCTACTACGTCAACTATTAAATTAAATAAATAGCGTTTAATTTCAAGTTCATAATAATTTTTTTTTTCTGTTTTATTCTTTCCAGTTGCAAACCTTGAGTTCAGGATCGAAGCAGAGAGTTGCTGGACATGGCATTGGGTACTCATAGTACCCTCCTCGGTTATTTAAGGCGCACTTGATAAATCCGCAAGATTTTGGATCTTTTACCACACCTAATTCCTTGCACTGGCCACTGGGAACCGGTGAAGGAGTCATTGGAGGTCCATTTTCAGGAGTCCAGGTGTCGTCTTCTGTGTTTTCAGTTCCTGGAACATTGGTTTCAGGAACGGTTGTTTCTGTGGAACCATTTGGAACTGTAGTTCTTGTGAAATCACCTGAAACAGTAGTTCTTGTTGAACCGTTTGGAACCGTAGCTCTTGCAGAAGTTCCCTTGGTATTTTTTTGACCTCCACGCAGAACAACACGGAGAGTTTTAATTAGTGGATATTTTTCTCCACAGGTTCCGCGGAAGTCGTCAGTCTCGATACTCCAGACCATGGCGCCACCTAGGCCCATTTTTTTGGCAAACTGAGCCTTGGCTTTTATCGACTCTTTGTTGTCGAATCCGACCCACTGGTTCTCTTTGTGGGCCCAGGGGGCTTTTCTTTCAGGGTCATAGTTGACCTTCCAGCCATTTTCTTTATGCATCTCACAGATTTCATTGTAGCCCAGTATTCCTGCCTCCTGAGTGTAGGGTCCAGCGGTTCCAGGCCCTGAAGAAGCGGCGCCGATTCCGTTCTCCCTGGGGTTTGAGAGAGTAAATGCGCGACCGTAAGTTGGAACTCCAAGGATTAGTTTCTTTTTTGGAGCGCCTTTGGATAACCAGTATTTTACTGCTGCTTCCTGAACATTTATAAGGTGGTTAATGCTTACAATTAATGTTTTTTTTTTAATTTATAAAAACTGAAATTTGTCAGTTTTTTAGCTAATTAAATTCTAATTAATTAAAAAATTGAAAAAAATTACTATTCAAAATATTAAATATTAATTATTAAAGAAAAATAAAGAGCACCAGATCAAACCTTACGAACGTTTATTTTCTTAACAACTTTGATTAGAAAAGCATTTTTTTAAACGCTGTTTAAATTAATTTCTTTGTCTAATTATATGATCTTTTTTTTTTTTAATTAACAATATATAAAAAATTTATAAAATTGAATAATCGAAATTAATTGTTTCCTTTATAATATTTAAATAATGGGTGTCAATAACTAGTTGATATTTTTTAATTTGAATCTCATATTGACATCCAGTCGACAGCGCTATGACGCCTTTTTTTTACTTTGACCTAAAAAATTTACTTTAAGAGTTTGAACTCTTCTGATTCAATAAATTATTTTTAAATTAATTTTTATATTTTTAATAGTAATTAATCATTTATGGAAATTATTATTAATAAACTTTAATAATATTGATTACTTAATAATAAGTTTTGATAAATAAGAATAAGCAGATGATTCGACGCATGCGCAGTATAGGTGTCAATAATTGGGGCTAAGGTATGTCAATAATTAGATCAATCAGTTTTTTAACCTGTCAATCAGTGTATCCGGATACTCTATTTAATTATTTAAAATTAATTAGTAAATATCACTGATTGTCATTTTAAAAAAAGAAATTGATTAGTAAAAACATTACTTTTGAAACATTACCACAAACAAAATTCAACGATATTGATATTTGATTGCTTAAAAAAAAATCAAATCATAATTGTGTATTATAGTTTCAATAATTAAGGCTTTTGCCTTAATTATTTTTACAATTAATTTTTTATAAAAGTAAAAAAAAATAATTAAATGTCTCCTTTATTTTTCAGATAAAAGACTATAAAATACTCACAGAATTCATTCCCTGTGCATCATAAGAATCAGTAGAAGCGGCATGTAAAGGTGCATTGAGTCCCGTTATAGGTTCCCAGGACCCATGAAAATCATAGGCCATCAAATTAATAAAGTCCAGGTATTTACTAATCTCAGCAATATCATAAGATTTCGAAGCTGAAGATTCCGCAGCAGCAACAGCAGCAGAAAGTAACAACCCTTGACTGTGTAATTTCTTCCCTAGGACTTTAACAAGCTCGACGAAGTTTTTAACGTCGCTCGGCGAGCCACCTCGCTGGGCTGGGTACTCCCAGTCCAGGTCGAGCCCATCGAAGCCCCACTTCTTGACAAACGCGACTGCGTTATCAGCGAAGCGTTCTCTGGATCCAGGATCGCTTGCCATTTGCGAATACTCGGTGGATCTTTCATTCCACCCGCCGATTGCTATCAGAGTTTTCAAGGCAGAGTTCTTGAGCTTGAGCTTGTTGAACCTTCCGAACCCGTCTTTACCGTTGTCATTAGGAGTGTCTTGCCACGGGTCCAGAATTTTTACATCACTGCCTTCTAATCCAACGAAGGTGTAGATCAAATGTGTGCAAAGGTAAGGGTCTATGTTTTCTATCTCGAATTTTCCACTGTCCGGCCGGTAAACTGACCAGCTACCCCAGTAGCAGACTATCTTCCCTTTTTCCGCAGTGCAAGCTGCCAAGTAAAATGCAGCAATTACTGCCAATATACGCATCTAAAAAATATTTCTAATAATTATTCAAAAATTCTAATAATTTAATTTTAAAAATAATAATTCATATTTTTTTTAAGTAATTAAAAAATTTTGAAAAGCTATTTTTTGATATTACGAAATTTTTTTAAAAAAAAGTTGTTCAAAATTTAATTTTGTATAAAAAAATTTTTCTTATTATTTTTTCTTAAGACCAATAGGAAAGCTGCAATTTTAAAATTGAAATTTTATAATTAACAAAAATTTTAATAATTTATTATGGAATCAGTGAAAATTTTAGTCGTATAAAAAAATTATAAGAGAAATTTCTTGTAAAAAATTAAACTTTCAAAAACTTTTTTATAAAAACACAATATTTTCGGCAAAAATCTAGGACCTAGTAATGAGTGAAGAAAGTACCTTTAAAGTATCGTTCACACTGAAGAAGTTCTTGGTAATGATTAATCAGAGTTATCACCACGTATTTATACAATTCGCTATCTTGCAGTGCGCATTAACATGAACGATAAATAATAATAAAATTGTTCATTAATGGCTTGTTAATAATTCGAGTATTTACACGTGTAAATCACTCATATTAAATAATAGTTAATCGGTAAATGTTGCATAAACGAGGATTATTAACCCGGAATAATTTTTATTAATAACTCAAAGGTGTATGATGGGATATTTTATGTTGTTTGGTTTCTCGCGACGGGTTTATCGATCTGTGTGATTATCTACTAGATTTTATTTTAGATAACGATGAAATATTGACTAATTTATTGATTTATATCAAGATTATAGATCATTTGAAGAGTATCTTCATGGTTGTGAATTATTGTTGTTTTATTTATTATTTCATTTCAATGCCAAGGCAGTATAGCCAGATGGCAAAAGTATACAAAAAGAGTTATAATAAAGTACACGTAAGTCTAATGAAGATATAAAGTTTAGAAAAAATTACATATCTATTAGTTTAGAAAATATTAGATATAAAAATTGATTATTTTTTATGAAATATTATTTTCTTAATTTGGAATACAAATTTGACAAATAAAACAAAGAAAATAAATTTGAGGATAAAAAATTGAGTGTTAAAAATTTTAAAAATTTAACAGTTTAACTCAGTGATACAAAATATACAAATTATAGAAGATGATAATCTGAGATGATCTAGAACAATAAACTTATGTAAACAGAAATGTGAAAAAGAATATAAACGGTTTGAAAATTAGGATTCATTTTCTTCTTTAAAAGTTAGAAATTAAGGTTCATTTTCTCGTTCACGTTTCATGAAGAATTCAAAAGTACTGATTTTAAAAGAATTTAAGCTAAGTGAATTTGTGACTTCAAATGGTAAGTCCCTCCAAATTCGGATCGCAGAAACTACGAAGGAATGTTCAAAAGTAGTAGTTGAGAAATTGGGCATTTTAAAAGACACATTAATTTGTTTAGCAGCAATTCTTTCCGATCTTCTAATATCTGTAGATTCTTCAATTAAGAGACTTCTAAGGAACTTTGGTTAACTTGATTTCAGAAGCTTGGAGATGAAGCACGCTAACGAGTACATTCGTTTAGATTTAACCGTGAGCCAGTTTATTGTTATGTTCGTTGTTTTTATTGTTGTTGTTATTGTCGTAGTTGCGTATAGCTTCTTCATCAATATTACCAATTACTTTATTAGTTTCAATAGTATTAATATCTGGAGCCAATAATGAATCCAAGTTGTAAAATTGTAAAATTGTCAACAAAAATTAATCAATACCACTAATTCTATTTAATATTGTTTCTTTTTAAATTGCTTATCATCTTCAGTCTCAGATAATTTGACAAGTTTAAATGGCGTAGAAATGGTAACACCATTAAACTTTAAATTCCGTAAAACCGGTATAACAATATTTGACGTTTTTTTTAAAGAAACATTCAAAATCTAGATTTTCACAATCAATACTTTGTCAACATTTAACAGTATACGTGAAATTTTTTGTGCCGTTAAAAATACTTTTAACTTTATTCTGATGCCAATTCATTTGTCCTTTTAATATCAAATTTCCCAAGTAAAAATTACTTTGCGATTGTCCAGATAATACATATTCTATAATTAAACATTATATAAAATATTACCTTATTATCTTTCAATTTGTCGCTAAAATGATTTTTTTATTTACAAGAAAAAAAAAACAATACAAAAGTTATTTTTCCTAGAAATCATTAAATTTTATTTTATTTTTTTAGCTTATCACTTAAGGAGATCCAAGTACCCTTCTTAGTAAACTTCCATCAGACTTTTGAGCTCGGAGAGCTCAAAAATGTAATAAATGCAATTTTGAGCACTTAAGTATGGAATTAGTGGGAAGTTGCAGAGTTTACCTTTACTTGACAATTTTTTAATTTTTTTTTAACAAACAAATGTGTTCCAAAAAATTATTTTTAAAAAATTGCATTTTTAATTTTTTTAAATTTCTACAAGTCAATTTTTTTTTTGCCATAATTTATTAATTACAAAAATTTTTTCAAATTATTAAATATCTGCTAAATTAATTTTCATAATTTTTTTTTAAATTCACCATAAATACCTTAAAAAATTGTCATTTTTTTTTAAAGTTTCTGACAGTTAGTTTTTTTTTTATAACGAAAAAACGTACAGAACTGCAGAGAGCGTATGCAATCAACGTTAAATATCCAATTTTTAATTCAATTCATCTCGGGTTATAAGTGACCAATCACCTTAAAATTTTAAGGGTAATTGTATCATCATCATGTCTTTAATAATTATACAAAAATTTAGAATTTTCTGACGGTATGCCTTAACTGCGGCAACTACCTTTATATAAAATAACCCATTTTAAAAAAATTACATCAATAATGTCTTTGGAGCGATTAATATCTCAGCATTAAAATTATCTTAATCCGCGTATCCATAAACAATTCTTCCGCCGATACCCTTATTTACAAGTTAAATATTACAAAAATTAATATGTAATTACTCTTATCAAAACTTAAGCCGATTAAAGACTCGAGGCAATGAGTAACGATGGCAATGACAATGACAAGTTATCAAAGCACACAAATAATTAATCCAGTATTTATTTTAGAAAAAATCAAGTTTGCTCAACAATTAAATTAAATAAGACTTTGTTTTAGAATGGACCCAAAGTTTTGTGCTTTAGTCTCTGGTTGTTGGTCCTAATCGCCTGCTTGCGGAGCTTCCTCCAGTAGGCTTTGGTGTTCGGGTCCAGCTCCTCCAGAGTCTTCGGCTTGCCCACGTGGATGTTCCACAGCCAATCTGGGTATTCTGAGTCGGGCTTTAGTTTCACGTCCTCGCCGCCTTCTTTTAGGAGATTTGTACCGCAGACGTAGTTTACTAGTCGGTGAGCGTCAGTTTCTACAGGAAGCTCGACTTTTGGTGCAGGTCCCATTCCTTTTTTTCCTTTTTTTACTTTTCCCAGCGAAGCAGCTATAAAAATTTTTTGGTAATTAGTTTATCAATAATTAAATTAAAAATCTGATAATTTTTACGATTTTTCTTATTGAAAAAATTATTTTTAAAAAATTCCATGGGTAAAACATTCCTAATATAAAATTGAGATGAAATGTATGTGGCATCAAACTATTCGTAACGTGATTGGTCGAATATATCATAAGCATGAAAATATATGCAAACTCTACAGTCAAGGCGCGCGCTTGCGCGCGTAAATTCAATTCTAGTTAAAAAAAAAATATGAATGGAATTTTTTCTTAATTTTCTCGTAATTTATTTAGTAATTGTTTAATTTCTCGCTCTAAAAAATTCTTGTTCACAAAAATGATTTTTAGAATTTTTTTCTTATCAAAATTTTTTTTATTTAAAACAATGAAAAATAGAATAACAAAAAAATTTTTTTCTGCCCTCCGGCCGGAAAGTGGCAACTTTCTGGCCGCTGCGCTAAACAAAGTTGCCACATTCCGGCTACGTCGAGCAGAAAAATAGTATACACACCTTGGCCAGTAAAAAGTAAAGCCTCAGATCACATGTTTGTCCACCTCGGCTTCGCCTCGGCCAACAATTACATGTGATCTGAGACTTTTCTTATTTTACTGGCCTAGGTATGTAATATACTATTGAAATTTAATTAACAATTTTCTGCAATCATAAAATTTTTCAGAAAAGATTTATTTGTTAAATAAAATTAAAAAATCATGTTTTTTTAATTTTCACATGTGGATTTTTTTATTAAAGTTTTTTTCATGATAATTTCATTGCTATAAATTTAATTATAAAAAAATTTCTAATATCTGTCAACTTCAGTATCATTAAAAAATTTTTTTTCGAAATTTTTATAATTATTATCATAAGTCCGTATTTAATTTATAATAATTTAAAAAATACTTTTTAATAAAAGAAAAAAAAATAGATGACCGTGAGAAAAAACAATTATCACTTATTGTTTTAACAAAACAAAAAAAAATGTCTATCAGCTGATTTCAATATCAAAATTTTAGTTGTAAAATTTTCTTCTCACAATAATAAAATAAATTTTTTCAATGACATTAAAGTTAGCAGTCACTTAACAATTTTATCAAAAAAATTATTTTTAAAAAATTGCATTTTTTATTTTTTAAAATTTCTAAATGTCAATTTTTTCTTTGCTATAAAATTTCTTAAATTATTAAATATATGCTAAATTAATTTTCATATTTTTTCATTATTAATAATTATCTATATAAAATTTTCCAATCTATAAAAGATAAATAAATAATTAATATAAATAAAATTTAACCTCTAAATAACAAAAAAGTCAATTACCTGCCACAACAGCATAATTATTTTTTAACATCAAACTATTGCTGGTGATAATTATCCTCGGCTTGTTAAAATGCCGTAAAAAGTTTAATAAAACCATTTTTAATTATTTGTAAAAAATTATGTTACTAATTATATACAATAATCACTGTATAATTACTCTTTTATTTATTTTTCTACACACATGTATATTTCACAAACATCTGATGAGCAGTCTAAGCGCACGCGCTTACTCGCGCATGCGCAGAAGAAAAATTTCAAATTTTTCGCGCGAAAATTTTGTTTTGACAACGCGCATAACAAATTATATATAGTAAGTGTAATTAGCACAAAAACAAGTGAAATAAATGACAGGCTTGTTTGTAAATATTCAGTACATATATTTGTAATTTTATATATTTTTTTATTGTTTGTTTCATAAAAAACAATGGACAGAGTCGAAAAATTAGACAATTTTTTAATAACAGTAGTAAAAAATATTTATTATTGTTATTTTTATTATTATCATTATTGTTTGTGAAAAGAGGAAGCAAGAGCAAGAGCGCAATGACAAACAAATATAAATTTAATACTCGGGCGATTGATTTTGAGTTTTAGTGGATTTTTACTGGCTGTTCAGGAAGTACTGGATCAAGACATTGAGGTGGTTATGTAATGCCAATTAGCAATAATAAATCACAGGTAACTACTCATTTTTATACTTATTTTAATGAAAATTGGCATGCATAATTCTTCTCTAAGTTTTATTATTAAATTTTTCAGTAATTTTCAAAACAAAATTTAATTTTTAAAATTCTAATGCATAAATTAGTTTTTTAAAATAATTTTTCAATTTTGTTTTGTTTTCATTCTTTTTTTATTTTTATTAAAAAAATTTATATTTTATAGTTGATAATCTAGAATTTTTATCGATTTTAATTTTTAGTTTATTTAGAGTTCCGGTAGGTGGCGGCAGTGTGTGGTTACTGAAATTGTACCTGAAAATGAGGTTCGGTGTGTAAAAATTTTGTGTTTTTTTTTGGGTAATTTTAAAAAGATTTTAGTGAATTATTTATTAATTTAATAAAGAAGAAAATACGGAAAATTAAATTTGAAAATTTTGTAATAAAAATTAATTTAGAAAATATTTGACCATATTTGTAATAAATAAATGACGACAAAAAAATTGACGGAGAAATTTGAAAATATTAAATAAAAACAATTTTCTTTATTGAAAAAATTATTACAAAAAAATATAAATAATAAATTCTTTATGTAGAAAGTTTGAAAAACTCTCTTATTAAAAAAATAAATTTAACACGATTCAACCCATGCAAAATGTATATCTATATATTTGTCAAGTTGAATCGTTTTTAATCGCTTTGAGCCAGTTCAAATCGTTTTAAATCTTGTTTTTTTTTTTTTAATAAAGTGGGGTATTTATCCAATTTTATAAATACAATTTTTGTATTTTTAATTAAATAATTAAAAAAAGTTTTTTAATGTTTGCTATAAAAAATGTTATCAAAATTTTTTAATTATTTTTAACTATAATAATTTTTTTCCAGGGAAAAAAATTGTCATTCAATTTGTGCGGAAAATCAGCGACAGTAACTTCGTCGACAATAAATGGTGAAGAAGGTGATCAGGATGACACTAAATTTTTCACGATAGCTCCAGCGCTTCCAGTGCTTCCTGGTGCTCCTGCACCCAGTAAATTAACCACCAAGCGGTCCTATGGTACTTTGACGTGAGTAAATTCAAAGTTTGAAATAATGCCCAATTTTTTAACCAAAAAAATAAAATTTCTAGACCAACTAGCTCAACTTACGGATTCGATGATGCAGAAGTCGGAGGCTGTGATGTCGTGGCTCTTCAACAGCAGCAATCCACCAGTGACAGTGGGTATAAAACCACCACCGTGGTAGCATCAAGAACTCCCGCAGAACGCGATAAAAATCCTGACAGAATTTGTCTGGACCGACGAGGCCTCACCAGTTTTCCTGACATTGTCGGTGAGCCGAAATTGAGGCTGATGTCTCTGCAGCACAACCTATTGTCGAGAATAGAGGGCCAGAATTTTTCACAGCTGACAAAGCTGGTCTTCCTGGACCTATATGACAACCAGATCGAGAAGATCTACGATCTGGCCCCGTTGGAGAACTTGAGGGTGCTTCTAATTGGTAAGAACCGGGTCAAGAAAATTGAGGGGTTGAGGTCGCTGATTAAACTCGAGGTGCTTGACCTTCACGGGAACCAGATTGTCCAGATCACTGGCTTGGAGAACTTGTCCTCGTTGAAGGTGTTGAATTTGGCGGGAAACAATGTCAAGGTCATTGGGTTCAATGATTTTCATGGACTGCTCGCGCTTAAAGAGCTCAATTTGAAGAGGAATAAGATTAAGAAGCTCTTGGGGTTTAGTGAGACTCCTCAGTTGCAGAAATTGTACCTCAGTAATAATGATATTCATAAGTGAGTACTGCAATTAAATTAATTATCCAATTTTGAGCCCCAATTATTGACACTATAAGAGATAAAATTATGATTTGATTTTTTTTAAGCAATCTAATATCAATATCGTTGAATTTTGTTTGTGGTAATGTTTCAAAAGTAATGTTTTTACTAATCAATTTCTTTTTTTAAAATGACAATCAGTGATATTTACTAATTAATTTTAAATAATTAAATAGAGTATCCGGATACACTGATTGACAGGTTAAAAAACTGATTGATCTAATTATTGACATACCTTAGCCCCAATTATTGACACCTATACTGCGCATGCGTCGAATCATCTGCTTATTCTTATTTATCGAAACTTATTATTAAGTAATCAATATTATTAAAGTTTATTAATAATAGTTTCCATAAATGATTAATTACTTTTAAAAATATAAAAATTAATTTAAAAATAATTTATTGAATCAGAAGAGTTCAAACTCTTACAGTAAATTTTTTAGGTTAAAGTAAAAAAAAGGCGTGATAGCGCTGTCGACTGGCTGTCAATATGAGATTCAACTTAAAAATTATCAACTAGTTATTGACACCCATTATTTAAATATTATAAAGGAAACAATTAATTTCGATTATTCAATTTTATAAATTTTTCATATATTGTTAATTAAAAAAAAAAAAGATCATATAATTAGACAAAGAAATTAATTTAAACGGCATTTAAAAAAATGCTTTTCTAATCAAAGTTGTTAAGAAAATAAACGTTCGTAAGGTTTGATCTGGTGCTTTTATTTTTTTTTTAATAATTAATATTTAATATTTTGAATAGTAATTTTTTTCAATTTTTTAATTAAAATTTAATAAAAATTTATATGATAGTTATTCTTATTACAGATAATTAAATAATATTTACAAATAATTGAGGCTGTCAATATTTAGACCCATGTCAATAATTAGGACTTTTAAATACTTTTCTGAAGAATATAGTCAAATTAAAAAATTAGAGATCAGTTTAATTTGCTCCCTGGCTTTAAAAAGATAATTTTAAGAAAAAGGCTTTTTTAAATATTATTTTAAAAATACTTGTTTGATTACATTTTCTGCTTTATATACTTGAATATATATCCATTACAAAAATAAAAAAAATAAATTATTTTCTTGTAATTCTAAGTGCGTATAACCTCTTAACTGATGACATGTAACATAACCTAATTTAGAACAAGAATTTCATAAAAGAAATTGAAGTTCTTACTGTTCTAACCGATGGATTTTTTATTTTAATTTAAATTTGAATGAATATAATTCTGTATTTATCAAATCTTACATTTTTCCACCAAAATAAACTTGACAGAAAAAAAATTTTTAAAAATAAATTTTACAAAAATTTATTTTTCAGAATCGAAGACATGGGCAGCCTAGCAAAAGCCCTAGAAATCAGAGAAATAACAATCGACGGCAACCCAGTAACCTTGAACGCAGACTGTATATCCTTCCTGGTCTCGTACTTACCAAACCTGCAGGCTCTCTCAACAATGCAGATCAACGAACAAGTCCGTCGCGCAGCGATGGCCTGGCGACTCACCAAAGAGCAGTCAAACTCCGCGTTCCTGGACCTGAGCACCCAGGTCTGCGTGAACGTCCGCCGCGAGGAAGTGATAATAAACGCGAAAAAAAACTGGGACCTTCTGCGGTCCCAGACCAAGTGCTTAACATCCAGCGCGAACAAGCACAGCAACATCAAGAATGAGCGTGTCCGTGGACTGAATCTGCAGAACAGCACCAAGTTCGACGCAGTGAAGATCAAGGCCGAGGAAGCTTCTAACCTGGGACACGCTCAGAAGCCGAGCTTCGGAAGCTTGTCTTCCATTAACTACGACAAGATTGACGCCAAGAAGATCCAGTTTAAGAGAAGGAGCAACTCTACTGATACTCTGTTCCATTCCAGGCATAATTTTCAGGGAAACGAGGCCGGGAAGCTAAACTTGGCGCTGGATTTTAAGCTGCCGCCGATTTTAGTCCCGATTATCAATAATATTACTAATTGCAGGTTCAATGTTAATAATAATGTTAATAACAAGGACAATATTAGCAGTACACGGTAAGAAAATTAATTTTTATTAAATAGAATAACTATACTTTTTATTTAAGGAATCATTCTGGTTCCAGCGCTCGAAAAAAAGCAATATTCAATATTTTTTTACAAAAAGAGAGTGGAAGTTTTATTTTCATGTTTTTTTCCGCTCCAGGAGTAAATACGGGTTTTTATTGGCAGATAAAGGATAGTTGGGAAAGTTTATGGTAGATGGCGCTAAATTCTGGGATTCCCCTGAGAAATGGGAAATTTTTTTGGTTAGGGTTGAGTTTTGGTTAGGAAGAGGTATTTTGATGAAAATTAGAGGAATTTTTGATAAAATATTAATAAAATGTTAAATATTGAAGATAAAATTGTAAAGAAATAGATTTTTAGATAAAAAAGAAGCAAATTTTGAGAAGAAAAGGAATAATTCTGGTTCTGGCGCTCGAAAAAAAAGCAATATTCATTATTTTTTTACACAGAAACTATTATAGATTTTGATATAAAATTTATTCAGCTCAACACGCACTCTTGAATAACACTAAAAATATCTAACTTTATTTTTTTAGATATTTTTTATATGAATAAACAACGGGTGAACGGAGCTCTGACAAAACGTTGGTATAAAGCTTACGTACGTGATAACTTGATAGCGGCTCATCTAAAACACTAAAACCAAAATTATTTACCTTCAATATATAAGTAGCTCGCATCAGCGAAGGAGATTAATATTTATCGATAAATAACAGAGATTTAAAAAAAAAAAAACTGAAAATTGAGGATTTTTTCACAGTTTTGTAGTCCTAAAAAAATAGAAAAAAGAAAATTTTGATTTGGTTGGAGCTGATGCAATAGCTACTGCTATGTAGAATATGTGGTTTAAATTTCATTAAGATTGGGTCAGTGGTTCCGGAGATATCATCTACGTAAACCAGAAAAACATAGTTCTGAGATAAACGCGTTTAAAGTTTTTTTAATTAAAAAAAAATCTTACCTAAAGTCAACCAGCGATGCCGGTACCATACAAAATTCCTCCAGCCTTTTCAAAAATTTTATTTTCTTCCACTCGATCATCCACATAAACCTCGTAAAATAATATAGTTACAGTGGTCCGATCACTTAAAAATTTAAACACAATACTTTTAGATATACTTTCGAAAAATGTAAAAAAAAAAATTTTTTTTCAAAAGTTACAAACCAGAATGATCCTTTAATAATTTTTATGATCTACTTGCGTAAATTTTATTCAAAAAATAATACTAGCAAGAGACTTAAAAAGACCAATAATTTGAAGCAAATTATACAAGACGTAGAGAACTTTAAAATTTAATTATCGTAAAATTTGTTACTTCTAAACTGAGAGAAAAAATTTCTTCTGAAGAAAATTACAAGAAATTAATTTGTTGGAAATTTTATTTTTTATCTGAAATCAAAATTGTCCTCACAGTAACTTTCTTCTTGAAAAAAATTTTTCTAGATTTAGGAAAAAACAATTTTCGATGAAAATTCTCAAATTGGCTATCTCAACTTATATTTTTCAAATTTTTTTGCTGCGTAGCAATGGCGGAAAAGGTTCAAATGAAACCGAAACAACAGACAGCGAGCTGGAGAGTTCGGAGAGTCACGAGAGCTTGAAAAGCGCGTTGAGGAACCATTTGATAAAGACTAATCTCAATTTAGGGAGTCAAAAGTCTGAAGAATCCAAGAACATCTACAGCTTCGGTGATGAAGAAATAAAAAAAAAAGAGAGAAGAAATGAATTTTCCTTGCAACTGGCGACAGATTCCCGGAGTTTCTACAATCTGGTGCAAGGGAGCACCAGGAGGCAGCTCAGCTACCGGCAGATTAATCTAGCGGGGATAAAAAAGGCCAACAGTTTGGACAGCAGGGAGGAATTTAGCAGCCAGAGTTCGACAGCTAGCAAAGAATTGGACTCGGATGATGAAAAAGGAAGGGTTAGAAGCGCTCAGGTGAAGAAGATTGTCAGCTACAAGAGCAACCGAGCAGCCACTGCTAGGGTCAAGCACAGGGCAGTGGCTACACCTGTTGTTCCTGTTCAGTTCAACGCGCCTAAAGAGAAAGAACAAGGTCAGTTTGGAGATACTTGTTTTTTTTTTTTTTTTTTTTTAATGGGATTTTTGATGATTTTTTGCTCAGGTGGCGACTACTTGGTGGAAATTGTTGGAAGGTGTCTTAATGTCTACGGACAAGGTGCTTTAAGGTACATAGACCGGTCTTGGGACTCGGTGAAGGCCAATGATGTTAACACGGTCAAGTTTAACTATGTTCAGTTCAACGGCGTCGCGACTGTTTTGAACAAATTGAAAATGAGGTTCTCCAATGCGCAGCATTTTATTTTCAAGGAGACTAATATTAGTCATCTAGGGCAGCTAAATGCGCTGGCTGAAGTTCAAGGGCTCACGAGTATTCAGATAGAAGCTGAGGGCAATCCGATTATTTCAAAGAACTGGAGGGTCTATGCTGTTTTTAGGCTGTCCCACTGGGGCCTCAGAATCATCAATGGTAAAGAGGTTGGTTTCTTTTGTAGAAATCTTACTATTGGATTAGATTTATTTGTAAAAAATTTTTTTCAACATACGCCCTTTTTTTTTGTCTATTTACTTAAATTTAAATGCCAAGGTAAAAACCAGATGGCAAAGGTACAAAAAGAATAAGAATAAAGTACATGTAAAACCATAAACATGGACATTTGTCAATATAATATATTATGAATGATAGCATAAATAGAATCAGTCATGAATTAGAGCAATAAAGTTTTATGGATTTCAGTTTATCCTATAAATTTTGTAGAATTTTTGTAGACTCTGGTTTCTAAAAAATAAATTTTTAAGGGTTTCTAAGAAAATAAATTTTTAAAGCTAAAAGAGCATATGGGAAGAAATAGTCAAAATAGCTTCTAAATATTTCAAAACGTCGACATCTAACGAAAAATTAATTTTTGGAAGTGAGACTGAAAACTAACAAATTACAATTTTTCTTCTTTTGTGAAAATTAACTGAAAAAAATTAAAATATAAATTTTAGCTTCTTCCATGAATTGACAATTTTAAAAAATTGGGTTATAATAGTATTTTAAGTTCAATTTCCAAAAATCATTTTTTTATTTTGGATATTGTTTCACATTTGTCTTTTTTGACTTTTAGAATTTTTTTTCTTAAAGCCAAAAGAATGTATAATTTGAGATATGCCCTTTTGGCATTAGTAACTCGATTTGTTCTTATGACAAAATTTTTAAAAAATTTTCCTTGATGAAGAAATCTAATTTAAAATTATTCAGTCTATGCAAAGTGTATCTTTATATTAGGGTGATTAAAAAAAAAGAAGAAAAACTTTTTCTTTTAATCAAGCTTAAAAGTCTCGCTTAGATTTAAAAACAAGCTTAAAATTTCAATATTAAAATGCTCCGCATTGCACTTTTTAATTATCCATAAGAAGAATACGGTTTCTTTTTTTTAAATTGAATCCATCGAAAATAATTTGAGATCAACTTAAACAAAAAACTTTTAATTTTCTTTAAAGAAAAAAATGAAATTTTTAAATTAATTAGATTAATATTAGGGTAAATGCACCAGTTGTTGACCGGTCACCAATTAGTTGACCGATGTATAAAAAAGTTAATTAATTAATATTTTACAAGGGTTTTTTTTTTCTTAAAGGATTAAAATAAAAAAATATGGCATTTAATCATCATAATAAAAAATTACGCAATTAATTGCGCAGTGATTATAGCTTTAAAAAAATATTCAGAGTTTGTTTACAACGCAACCAGCCATAAAGCGGTCAAAAATAACTAGCGTACAATTGGAGAGTGAGAGCATTTCATCATTAATTTAGTGATATTTATCGGCATAATATAAAATATTTTAGTTTTATTATGTTAATTAAAGATCAGATTCCAACTTTTTTGAAAAAATAAAGTTAAATTATAAGTTTTAATATTATTTTAAAACCGGTCAACTATTGGATCCGTCAGAAGCCCTTTACCCAGTCAAAAATTCATTCGGTCATTTATTAGACCCTCTGATTTTATCACAATCCAATTAATGACCGTATATTATTTATAATACTAACTTCTAAACCTCAAAATTAAATCTGTCAAGTGTTTAAAGTACTTTAGTCATTCAATTTTTTGTAAATATAAAAATAATCATTATAAAATGTATATTTATAATTAAAATAATACTTAAAATCTTTTTTGATTATTAAATTTTATTTTGTTGTAATTTTTTTAGTGAACGGTTATATCAAAGAACGAATTATTAGAAGAAAAAATTGCTAAGCAATTAAAAAAATAAAAAAAAAGTTACAAGCTAGTAAAAAAGCTTTAATTGAAAAAAAGAAGGAGAAGAATAAAAAAATTTCAAGTGAATCAGAAAAATTATCGTCATCAAAATGAATTTGTGATTATTTGTGACCTAAAGAAATGTGACTTTATGTTAATTATTGCTATTATTTATATTATTTTATAAAAAAGTACGATTTAAAATTATATTGTATGTTTAGTTTTGTTAAAGATGCAAAAATCGAACGTTTTTAAAACTAGGTGCATTTACCCTAGCTTGCATTATTTATTTATTTATTTATTTATTTATTTATTTATTATAATAAGACCCAACAGCTTAACGCCATTAACAGGGTCACTTTATACAATGTTCCTATACAGAATGGCGACTTTGATTTACAAATTATCATAGTATTATATAATCTACAAAATAATACAATAGGAAGTTGTAATTTTATTTCCATACATATTTAAATTACTTAGAACTCATTATACGACAAGAAATATTCTATATTGCAACGTTAAAAAATATGATATATTCTTAAATTAGTAATGACTATCTTTGCGTAGAGATACGAGCATGGATGCAAGAGAGTTCATTGAAAGAGGTTGATTGTAACCCAGTAGATCTAATAAGCAATCGTCATTACACAATAGACGATTGCAAACAGTTGTAAGTCTGTGCAATGGTGAAGCTTGAATCCAATTTGCTCTGGCAGTAGGTACTTTGAACAGTTGGGAGAACCTAGTGGTACCAGTGGGAACAAAAAAATGGTAGTTGCGCTAGGAATTGAGGACACTCAGTATGATTGCTGCATATATTCTTCAGCCAGAGAATTGAGGCACAGATTCTACGTTCTTCTAGTGTAAGCATATTCGCTTTCCTGCAAAGTTCGTAATAGTCAGTACCTGTGGGTGGATACTGGCCACTGATTTTAAAGGATAGATATTTTAAGAATCTGCGCTGAATTTTCTCAAGGCTTAAAACATGTTTCTTATGGTATATAAGAAACATTATTATAATTTTTTTATTTATTAAAATTCTCATTGAATTAATTAACTCTAATTATCAGTCCTGAGCAAAATAGTTGAACAAAATTCTATATAAAAATTTTTTTTCTTTGTAAAATATCTAAAATTAAGAAAATTTACTTGTCGATTTTTTTTATTTTTTTTTATGGGAAAAATTTGAGTTTTATGTAATGAGTGAGTCTTCCTAGGTCAGTCCGGATGAAATTGAGGCTGCGAACAAAGAATACTCTGGATTGATTGACATTGTGATGTGGTCTTTGCCAGAAACATTGCTACAGCCTTTGTTACAGCGACTGCATCTTGAAAAAGTTCAGAGACTTAATGGAGAACAAATCACTGCCAAACAATTTTTATTCAACAGCGATCCAGCTTTAAGGAATGTTGTTGCTAAGGAAGCATTACAGTGGAGACGTGGAAATGTTACCCAAGTATTTTTTTAAAATTATTTTTAAGTTTACTCTGAAAAAAAATAATTTGTTCAAAAAAAAATATTAAAAATTTTTCTCTTGCTAAAAAATTATATTAATTAATTGCATTAAAAAATTAATTTTTTTTAATAATTTTATGAAGTATAAAATATTTTTTTGAGAAAAATTTCTTGAACAAAATTAAAAAAATATTTAAAATTTTAAAATTAAAATAATAATTATTTTTATTACAGGATGATTTAATATTGAGACATAAAGGTAAAATTCATTTATCAAATTACATTGATCAAACAGTTGACGCAATCCAAAAATTACAATCACTGGAAAAAGAATGGCCAAATATACTTTACGAAATAATTCGCACAACTTTAACAGATTACTCTCAGATGAATTTATATATGAAGAAGCGTAGTAAGATACTTGAAGGTGATAAGTGATAAGTAATAAATAATAATTATCAACTAAAAATTGTGTATATGTATAGTTATAATAGTGTAAATAGATAAATAAATTTTTAAAATAATAAACAAACTACCGCGAGCCAATTATTGACTCGACGCTGAAAGATATGCGAGGCGCTGGTTTTTCTTCGCTCTTAATCTGCTCTTCGTAGTTCATCTCAGTTGTTTCTATCAACTGGGTCAAAGACTCGTTGCAGTTACTTCCAGATGAAGGTATGTTACTGGTCCAGGTTGGCGTTGGTGAGTATTTTTCTTCATTTGACAACCGGAAAATTGAATCTCGAACTGTAATTTTTCAACATATTAATACTTACTTTTTTCAGGTGAGATCCAGCTATTTAAAATAATTTGGAAAATAAAGAAAGGTAAAAATGATATAAAACTCACAATTCTGATTATCAAAATTTTGCAAGTTGATTCTCGTGCTAGTAACTTGGAAACTCTTGAAATTTTTCAGCCGTCTCACAACACTTTGGCCCGCAAAATTAAAACTTCCCGTGAAGAAACTACCATTGGAATTTAAATTCTGACTTTGTTGTTGTCTTCTCAGGGCTACTTGAGCTGCCATTACTCTTTGTCTTTCCACGACTAGCAAACAGCAAGGACAATTGCAATCTTTCCACCTGCATGATCGCTTGTGGCCTTTTAAACTTGATATAATACCATGGTTCCTGCATCTTGCGCATTTGGGACTTCTTAATCTTTGTTCTATTTTTAATTCGTTGCACTTTTCCATCACTATTAATATTTTATTATTATTATTATTATTGTTATTATTATTATTATTATTATTATCATCACTAATATATATTTTGAAAATTAAGCAGTGAAATGAAAATAATAATAATAATAATAATAATAATAATCTCCAGATACATTATTAAGAAATGACCTTGTATCTTGAGAACTATTGACATTTTTAAAGATATAAGCTGATCTTGACATTACACTCATCAAGACCTTTCGTTTGAGTACCCACATCAATTTTTCATATACTTCATATATATATATATATATATATATATATATATATATATATATACTTCCCTACGCGACGCTCTTCCGATCTTACCCACATCAATTTTTCATATATTTATATATATGTATATATGAAAAATATATCAAAAATGCATATGGGTACTCAAATTAAAGCTCTTGATGAGTGTAACATCGGGATGAGCTTATATCTTTAAAAACATCAATATTTAAAAAAGTACAGTGCGAAATTTCATTTATTTATAGTTCACAAGTCACAGCAGTCACATAGTGACTGCAAGGTTGCTATTAATATTAATAGTAATTGATGATAATGATGATGATCATAATCAATTTTTATTATTAATATTATTTTTATTACTATTATTATTATTGTTACTGCTTAAATTCCAAAATATATATTATCATTATTATTAATAATGATAAATTAATTATCATCATTATCAATAATTATTAATAATATTTGATGATAATGATGATGATCATAATCAATTTTTATTATTATAATAATAATAATAATAATAATAATTATTATTATTATTGTTATTACTTAAATTTCAAAATATATATTTTTATTAATATTAATAATAATAAATTGATTATCATCATTATCAATCATCATTATTGTCAATAATCAATTATTATTGTAATTATAATTATAATTATAATTATTTTTTTTTTCAATAACTTCACTCACAATTAAACCCACCTTAAAAATTTTTTTATAAATTCCAGGCGTTCCACAACAGTACCTTACAATTAAAGAGATGTTAATCTTCTAAATACTTGGTAAGTAAATAACAAGTGTATAACTTCTCCTTCCACATTATTTTATTCTTGTATATTTTTAGTGTTAAAACATTAAAAGCCATTGGATGAATTCTCTCTAAGCCACGCCAACATAAATAAGAACCGCCTTCTTCATAACATTTATTGTAATCAATCAACAAAATTTATTTCTTTTTAATCAACTCATAATTTTTGTCATCATCATTATCATCATCATCATCATCATCATCACTAATTATGATTTGATTACTAAAGAAGAAATAATAGAGTCAAGTTATCAATATCAGGTCATTGATATTCTTCGCTGATAAAGATAAAAAGAAGTAAAGTTTTAAAAGGGAGAAAATTCTTTATAAGACTGACAGCTGGTACCAAATGGTATTCTTTTAACTGACTAGACTTTAAGAGCTCGTTAATGCTTCGGTTTGATAGTTATAGTTATAGTAATACCAAAGAGCTAATACATGTTGCCAAAGGTTAATATTAGTTGACGACTGTTTTTCTTAGTTAATATACACCAGCGGATATCCTTTGGTGTTTAAATAAGTTAATAAAAAAAGAAATTGATTAGTAAAAACATTACTTGAGACATAACCACAAACAAAATTCAACGATATTGATATTTGATTGCTTAAAAAAAATCAAATCATAACTTTGTCTTTTATAGTGTCAATAATTGGGGCTTTTACCTTTGTTATTTTTAAAAAATTGCATTTATAATTTTTACTTCCCTTGTTAAGAATTTTTTTTAATAAGGAAAAATTTCAGTGTCAAAAATTTTTTAGTTTCTATAACCTCAAAATAAAAAATATAATAATTTTGAGGTTATAAATATTATTGCAATATTTAGTAATATTTCTTCACTAGAAACAAACCCAAATATTATTAATAACCTAGTAAAGTAACAGTTGTATATTAGTATCGAAATTTTCAGGGATTTGTACTCGAAAAATGTAAAACCCGTGCAAGTTCTAAGGAGAGCCAGCCGAAGACGTTAAATAATGCAAAATGTTAAAGTGTGTCACAAGTCACCACACTAAATCATACTAAGGGTCTACTTATAGCCGTGTCACAGTCAAACAGTCAAATGAGACGTTTATTAATTGACTTTGAATATCTGCTACGTTTCTTCCTCACACTCCCCTTTGGTTCTCTTTTTCGTTTTGTTATTTTAAACTTGTTATTATTTTCCACAACAGCATTTATTCCGCGACACTTCCTCTTGTTTTGTAACTTCACATCTCAAGTCACCAACGCAGTCCTCAAATCTAATTGAAATCCAAAATTAAATTTGCTTCCTCATTTATTAACATTGTTAATAAATTACTTACACTTTCTTCCTTTTGCAGCCACATGGATACACAGAAGACCGCCTGTTAAAATAAAAAAAAATTTTTTTAATCTCTTAAAATTATTTAAAAATTAAATCTTTTTTGTAATACTCACCAACGATGACACATACAGCGACTTCTTGATTTTCTAAACAAAAAAAAGTTAATGACATTAAAATTTTTCAAATTTTTTACATGTTAAATTTTTTCTTTCAATTTTTTTAAAATAATTTTTTTTCAATTAAAATTTTCTGATGTCAGCTTATTTAATTTTTTCAATAATTAATAACATTTAAAAATTTTTCTAACAAATAAATTATATTAAGAAATTTGTTCAAAAAAATTATTTTTAATTTTTTTAATTTTCTACATTTTAATTTTTTTTTGTCATAATTTATTTGTTTAAAAAAATTATTAAATATTTATTAAGTAAATTTTTACAAATTACAGTTGATGATTAATAATTTAATTAATTAAAAACTTACTCTTCTCCTTTTAAAAGTTGTCTTTTGTGATCTCTCTCAGCTGCTGCGCACAAACATTCAATTCTTCTGAAAAATATTTATTTTTATTAATATACTTAATAAATTAACCAATTTTTTTGTAAATTTTATTTAACTTACTTTTCTTTTAAAAAACCACCATAGACAAAAATTATTGTGAATAAATTAAAGACAAATTTACTTATAAACCAAGAAACACTCGTAGTACAATGAGCCATTTTTTTAAACTGTCAATTTCGTTTTTACTTAATAAAAAATTAAATTTTGAAATTAAGTATTTTTTATGATACTGAAGATATCTATTAACTGTTAATTTTTTTTAAGTCAATTAACTTCAGTATCATTATTTTCTTGTTAAAATTTTTTTTATTAGTGTGAAAATTAGTATTTTTCGTAAAACAATTGAACTTGGTAATTTCCTTTAACTAGCAACCTTGCAGTCACTATATGACTGCCGTGACTTATGAACTGTAAATAAATAAAATTTTACTTTACTAATAATAATGACTTTTGTTAAAATGCACTGTACTTTCTTAAATATTGACGATTTTAAAGATATAAGCTCATCCCGATGTTACACTCATCAAGAACTTTCATTTGAGTACCCACATCCATTTTTATATATATTTACATATTTATATATATTATATATATATAATATATATAAATATGTAAATATATATAAAAATGGATGTGGGTACTCAAATGAAAGTTCTTGATGAGTGTAACATCGGGATGAGCTTATATCTTTAAAATCGTCAATATTTAAGAAAGTACAGTGCATTTTAACAAAAGTCATTATTATTAGTAAAGTAAAATTTTATTTATTTACAGTTCATAAGTCACGGCAGTCATATAGTGACTGCAAGGTTGCTAGTTAAAGGAAATTACCAAGTTCAATTGTTTTACGAAAAATACTAATTTTCACACTAATAAAAAAAATTTTAACAAGAAAATAATGATACTGAAGTTAATTGACTTAAAAAAAATTAACAGTTAATAGATATCTTCAGTATCATAAAAAATACTTAATTTCAAAATTTAATTTTTTATTAAGTAAAAACGAAATTGACAGTTTAAAAAAATGGCTCATTGTACTACGAGTGTTTCTTGGTTTATAAGTAAATTTGTCTTTAATTTATTCACAATAATTTTTGTCTATGGTGGTTTTTTAAAAGAAAAGTAAGTTAAATAAAATTTACAAAAAAATTGGTTAATTTATTAAGTATATTAATAAAAATAAATATTTTTCAGAAGAATTGAATGTTTGTGCGCAGCAGCTGAGAGAGATCACAAAAGACAACTTTTAAAAGGAGAAGAGTAAGTTTTTAATTAATTAAATTATTAATCATCAACTGTAATTTGTAAAAATTTACTTAATAAATATTTAATAATTTTTTTAAACAAATAAATTATGACAAAAAAAAATTAAAATGTAGAAAATTAAAAAAATTAAAAATAATTTTTTTGAACAAATTTCTTAATATAATTTATTTGTTAGAAAAATTTTTAAATGTTATTAATTATTGAAAAAATTAAATAAGCTGACATCAGAAAATTTTAATTGAAAAAAAATTATTTTAAAAAAATTGAAAGAAAAAATTTAACATGTAAAAAATTTGAAAAATTTTAATGTCATTAACTTTTTTTTGTTTAGAAAATCAAGAAGTCGCTGTATGTGTCATCGTTGGTGAGTATTACAAAAAAGATTTAATTTTTAAATAATTTTAAGAGATTAAAAAAATTTTTTTTTATTTTAACAGGCGGTCTTCTGTGTATCCATGTGGCTGCAAAAGGAAGAAAGTGTAAGTAATTTATTAACAATGTTAATAAATGAGGAAGCAAATTTAATTTTGGATTTCAATTAGATTTGAGGACTGCGTTGGTGACTTGAGATGTGAAGTTACAAAACAAGAGGAAGTGTCGCGGAATAAATGCTGTTGTGGAAAATAATAACAAGTTTAAAATAACAAAACGAAAAAGAGAACCAAAGGGGAGTGTGAGGAAGAAACGTAGCAGATATTCAAAGTCAATTAATAAACGTCTCATTTGACTGTTTGACTGTGACACGGCTATAAGTAGACCCTTAGTATGATTTAGTGTGGTGACTTGTGACACACTTTAACATTTTGCATTATTTAACGTCTTCGGCTGGCTCTCCTTAGAACTTGCACGGGTTTTACATTTTTCGAGTACAAATCCCTGAAAATTTCGATACTAATATACAACTGTTACTTTACTAGGTTATTAATAATATTTGGGTTTGTTTCTAGTGAAGAAATATTACTAAATATTGCAATAATATTTATAACCTCAAAATTATTATATTTTTTATTTTGAGGTTATAGAAACTAAAAAATTTTTGACACTGAAATTTTTCCTTATTAAAAAAAATTCTTAACAAGGGAAGTAAAAATTATAAATGCAATTTTTTAAAAATAACAAAGGTAAAAGCCCCAATTATTGACACTATAAAAGACAAAGTTATGATTTGATTTTTTTTAAGCAATCAAATATCAATATCGTTGAATTTTGTTTGTGGTTATGTCTCAAGTAATGTTTTTACTAATCAATTTCTTTTTTTAAAATGATAATCACTGATATTTAGTAATTAATTTTAAATAATTAAATAGAGTATCCGGATACACTGATTGACAGGTTAAAAAACTGATTGATTAAAAAACTTATTATTAAGTAATCAATATTATTAAAGTTTATTAATAATAATTTTCATAAATGATTAATTACTTTTAAAAATATAAAAATTAATTTAAAAATAATTTATTGAATCAGAAGAGTTCAAACTCTTACAGTAAATTTTTTAGGTCAAAGTAAAAAAAAAGGCGTGATAGCGCTGTCGACTGGCTGTCAATATGAGATTCAACTTAAAAATTATCAACTAGTTATTGACACCCATTATTTAAATATTATAAAGGAAACAATTAATTTCGATTATTCAATTTTATAAATTTTTCATATATTGTTAATTAAAAAAAAAAAAAAGATTATATAATTAGACAAAGAAATTAATTTAAACGGCATTTAAAAAAATGCTTTTCTAATCAAAGTTGTTAAGAAAATTAACGTTCGTACGGTTTGATCTGGTGCTTTTATTTTTTTTTAATAATTAATATTAAATATTTTGAATAGTAATTTTTTTCAATTTTTAATTAGAATTTAATAAAAATTTATATGATAGTTATTCTTATTACAGATAATTAAATATATTTAAAAATAATTTAGCGTCAATATTTAGACCCCTGTCAATAATTAGAGCTTTTACCTTATAACTTATTTATTAATTATATAAGTTCAAAAAATATTTAAATCTGTGTTATAATACAAGCAAATCCCACCAGCGAATTATTGCGGTCTCTTTGCATTACTAAGACCGCACAAAGAGTGAATAGCTCTCTTTATACTCCCCAAAAAAACTTAATTACTCCCAATAATTCATCCAACTAATTAAAATAATTTTTATTTTCATACAACAACGTTACTATCAACATACAAAAATACTTATTGTACAATATAATCATTTTCTGGTAACAAACGCCCTCTGTCCAGGCACTCTCTAACCCACTTTTTATCTAGTACCTTAATAAAATTTTTCCCGGACTGATTAATTTTCCTATAAACACTCTCTCTGTCCCAATTTCCGCCCACAAAAACATGCGTAGTACTTCCATCAATCTCCTCACAAATCTTCCCCCTCAAAAACACAAAAGGTTTCTTCAACCAGTCATCTTTAACAAAATGGCCGGCCACATTCTCAAAGACCCTAACCTGCAAATCCCCGCACTCTTCTTCCAACTCTTTATAGTCTTCTTCTTCAAACGCTCTACAATCCTCAAGATCCTCCGCTCTTTCCAAAGAGCGCTTCAGACTTTCCAGATCCGCATCAACAAAAAACCCGTCCCAGTACTCATCAAACATAACCTTCAATCTGTCCCTAGTCTCCTTGCGCATCGCCAGCATTTCCCATGGAAGAAACTCAACTAATCTTCCCCAATTTTCTTCCTTAGTCGCTCTAATAACCCAGGAAATTTTCGCAACATCATACTTAGCGCACTCAATTAAATTCCTTGCCTTCAATATCTTCTCATCTCCTATCAAGACACAAAATGTATTTCTTCCCGGGTTTTGAACAACCTTGGCCGAATGTTCCAGTAAAATCCGTTCCAAGTCTTCCTTACTGACCTTACCATCTCCGTTGATAACACAGAACTCCTTCCCTTCCATCAGTCGGGTCTTGCGCTGAACATCAGCCGCCCTAACCCCAAAGTGTTTCTCATCCATCTTGATACTCTTAATAAACTTAGCTTCAGTATCTCTTCTCTTAGCGGGCAGACATTTTTCATCTTCTTCAGTAGCATGCCTCTTGGTCAGCTTATTAACCACTCCGCGGTGCTTTATCAAGTTATTAAATTCCGTAATTGTGCAAGCGTCGTACCAAGGTTTGTCTTCCCTAACCTTCTTTACCCTCGGAAACCTCAAAGTATACCCCGTAGGTTGAGTTTTGCATTTAATCAACTCACTGGCTCTGATCTGGAGCACTGTAGACTTCTCTGGAGGCAGCCATGAGTCCGGTGGGTCCTTACTGGGCCCTACCACACAAGATGGCCGCTCTTTAGTCCAACTTTCCGCAAATCTAGCGTTTAAATCTCTAAGTTTATCCCGGGGAATCCCAGAACTAACTCCAACCACGGATTGGAACTTCCTTGTTTCTTCACTAGGCCCCGGGACTACTAGCGCCACCAGGAAGCTGTTGTACATTCCTGAGTACTTACCTTGTCCATAATAACCTCCAACTATCAGTAAATCTATGTCTTCGACTAAATTATCAGAGTACTCTGCTTTTATTTTATAGCACTTGTTACCCTCGCGGGAATTTGGCTTGTAGATTCCTAAAGAATCTTTAACAACTATCCCTTCGTCGTAATTATCAAGACTCTGGTTGAAAATTTCCCGGATTTGGTCAGGGGAAGACACTATAGTGTTGTTACTGCGCATCAGGACGCCATCTTGTGGCGTAAAAGCGCTTTCTAAGACTTTCAATCGCTCTTTTAGAGGTAAGTCGACCAATAGCTTGTCGTTGTATAAAATGATGTCGAAGGCCATCAAACATGGCTGATGGACGCTTTTTGAGGTTAGTTTTTTAACGTCGAAGTTCATACCTTTAGAACCGAAACAAAGTTTTTCCTTGTGCCAGCCCATAAGCTCGCCGTCGAGGATTATTGAGCGGCATTCTGGGTTTAGAAGGGAAGAAATTTTGGAGGTTAGGTTACCTGAAAGTGGGGAATCCCCGAAACTTGGGTGGTTGGTTATGTCGTAGCCGTGGCGAGTGTAGTACTTAAACTTGCCGTTAGACATGTGCAGTTGGCTCCTTTCGCCATCGAATTTTGTCTGGATTATGTAAGATGGCGTTGTGGTGAAAAGCTCGGAGATACGCTCGATATAAAAGCCCTCGAGGAGCATCGGTTTGAAGGGGGAGAGCACGCTGATGTTGCAAGTTTTTTTAGGACGGTATTTTAGGTTATGTAGAGTGTCGCAGACCTCTCGGAGGTTCGATTGCTCGCCGAAGAGGGATTCTGCGTCTGGGTGGTAAGCTGAAAATTTTTGAAGAAATAAAATTGATTTGGATTTAGGATCGTATAATAAAATTAAGATGAAAAATATGTGTTGCAAACTATTCGTAACGTGATTGATCAAATACTATAAGCATGAAAATTAATGCAAACTCCATATTCAGGAGCGCGCAAATTAATTTCTAGGATTTTATCATAGAAAACTTGCATTAATTTATTATTAATAAAAATTTATGTTCAAATGATAGAATAAATTAGAGAAAAAAATTAAAATAGAACATGCAAGTTATTTATTATCTCAAATTTATGTTGGAATTATTGTTTCAATTGAGGTTATGTTACTGTATAATTCGGTTAACTTCGGAACCTTTCGTTTATAATCGGCTGTTGTGGGTTAGTATTGTTTAAAAACAAGATTTTTAACCTAAAAGTGTTGTTTTGACTATATATAAGGTATTTATATTAAATACAGTGTTAAAAAATTATATCTTACCGTTTAAGATCTGCTTTTCTCCTATCCCTATTCTGATGGACTTTAAAATTATTCGCGTTAGCCATTTTATTTCCAATGCGCTGCATTGTTGGGCCATACGAAAAAACTCGGGATCTTTGCTTTTATTCTGCCGATTTTTTTCTGCAATTTTATCAAGAAGGGAATTTATCTGCTCGATTGATAGTTTGCAAATGTTTTTTGTCTGACGGCGTTTTAAGATCCAATAGATTTTTCCAGCCAAGTCGCCGCCAGATGGCGTTTTTTGTTCCGTTGGTTCCCTGTAAAGTGAAGAAATTTAGAATCAATTTTTTTTTTTAACAATGTTAGTTTTTGGAAGAAATTAATTAACTTAATTGAAGAAAAGAGTTTAAAGATTAAAGACTTTAATAAATAATTAAGACTTAATGAGTAAGACTTTAATTAATAATTATTGATAATACTTAATATAAAATTTGAATAAATGATACTGACAATGATATCTACAAACTAAAAAAAAAATATTTAAATGTAGAAAAATAAAAAATTGTCAAATATGTCTGCTAATTTTACTATCATAAATAATAATATCAATACCTGTAATTGATAATTTGTTTAGCATCATCAGAATTACCAAGACAAAAAACTCTGACGTATAAAATTCCCAAAGATTTTTCTTTCAAACCATACGGCCCGCGTTCATGGTCTTTTGATGATAATAATAATCTCATTATTGGGAATAGCGAAATATCCTGAAAAAAAATTATAAACCTCATAAAATTATTATTATTATTATTATTAAAATGCATGCATCAGAATAAATAAAAACAACTTACCGCATCAGGATTTTCATTTTTTAATTCTTTTCCAACCTCCCGCCATTTATTCAAAAAATCTGTCAAGATTTTAACTTTATTTTTAGGTGAAGCTGATAAAATTTCTTCTAATAAATTACAAAATTCATTAAATTCAATTTTAGATGCTAGTGATACCATTTTTTTTTATTTTTCATCAGACATGAGTTTGTGTTTTTTGTAAACACAAATCAGCTGATTAGAAAAATGGCGGCTTTGAAAAAGGCGGGGTATTTAAAAAAAAATTTTAATATACTAAATTTATAATAATAAGTATCATTAAAAATTAATTTTTTAAATAATAATAACTTACCAAGAAAACTAAAAAAATTTTTTTAATCAATTTTTTACAATGGAAAATTTTAATTTAGATTAAAATTCACACTCAAACTTTCCCGCCTTTATAGACGCCATAGCTGTGGCGTGCTTGTGCAATTAAAGACTACGGTTATTTTATTCGTTTAACTCAGTTCAATCCGAGATGGGACTCAGTTCAACGAAGATTGTCCCTACTACAATCTACATAAAAGTAGTTACTATCTGTACATTTTTTCACTATAGATGGAACTAGGTTCCATCCGACATGGAAACCAGTTAAATGTTGTTTTTTCCGTGTATAATCTGGGATGATATCCAGTGTCATCTTGTTCTTTCAGTCACGTGAACGACAAGCTAAACAAAAATTCACTCATACTTTACGCAGCAAACGCATTTGCCATCAGCTCCTACACGGAAAAAACAACATTTAACTGGTTTCCATATCGAATGGAACCTAGTTCCATCTATAGTGAAAAAAATGTACAGATGGTAACTACTTCTATGTAGATTGTAGTGGGGGACAATCTTCGTTTAACTCAGTTCAATTCGAGATGGGACTCAGTTCAACGAAGATTGTCCCTACTACAATCTACATAGAAGTAGTTACCATCTGTACATTTTTTTCACTATAGATGGAACTAGGTTCCATCCGACATGAAAACCAGTTAAATGTTGTTTTTTCCGTGTACGGAATCAAAACCATTTACCTGGATCTTAACCTACGTAGGAAGATTTCCTGGTCCTTAGATTTTAAACGCCATAGCTGTGGCGTAATTCTACAATTATTATTATTATTATTATTATTATTATTATTATTATTATAAAGACTATAGTTATTATTAGTTATATCTTGTGACCTGACTAATTCTAATGAGATGCTAACTATTTTTTATATAATTAAATAAGTGAATAAACATTATATTAACTGTTAATTAATAATGACACTAAAGTTAGCTATCACTTAACCATTTTTTAATTTTTTTTAATAAACAAATTTGTTCTATAAAATTGCATTTTTTAATTTTTAAAATTTCTAAGGTAAAAGACCCAGTTATAGACACTTGCAATTTTATTTTAATTAAAAAAAATAAATCAAGTCTTATATATAAATTAATAAGTATAATTTTTGAATTATAAATTTTAAGATAATTGATTTTTTGAGAACATTTTATTTTTTTAATTAGAATAAAATTGCAGGTGTCAAACAACTAGGCCAATGTCAATAGCTGGGTCTTTTACCTTACTAGTCAATTTTTTTTTTTTTGCGTTAATTTTTTTTTTACAAAAATTCTTAAAGTTATTGAGTATCTGCTAAATTAATTTTCATTAATTATTCTTGCAAATATAACATTATTTAATTTATCGTATATAGTTTTTAACATTTAAAATTTTCCCGCCGCCACCTATCGTCACAGTAAAAAAACACAAAAAAACACAATCATCACATTGACCAATAAATTCTAACCTATTTATTTGTTTACTTGATCATTTTTACTTTTAATATTTTTTTATAAGTCAAAAATTTTATTTTATTATAAATTAATCTAAGAAAATGTCGAGCCTTTTTGGTGAAGTAGTTTATCCTAGTTCTCGAGCATTTTGGTCCGAAGAAGATGATGATACTCAGGAAAATATTGATAACTCATCGTAAGTAATTATTATTCAATTTAATTCACCGAAAATTATTTATTTTTTTGCTTTCAGAATTTTCAAAATTGACATCAAAGATATTACAACTATAAATTCTTTAATTGTCATCGAAACTGATTTATTGACAGGTAGATTTTTTTATTTTTAACAATTGTAATTTTTAATTACAATTTATTTTTTCAGAAACTTGAAACTAAAAAAAAAAAAACTAAAACATTTTTTTAGTTCAAATTTCTAATTGTTATTAATTTATTTAATTACAGATTTCATCAAGGAAAGTGTATTAAATAAATCAGAAATAGCGGGTACAATTACAAGACCATCTGCTAGTGGATGTACATCAACTCTTTACGCACTGACAGGTGATATTTATATTTTGTTAATTGGAGCTGTTGATTTAGCCACTTCTGGAGTTTTTGTTGATGCAGTAAGATATTTTAATCAATTTTATTATTATTATTATTATTATAATTAATTACTAATTATCAGTGACTTTAATTTTTTTTATTCTAAAAAAAATTCTATAGATTTCAGGACTATTGGAAAAAGCAAAAGATATTGTTGCGCTAACGTCAAATCATGTGTCGCAATTGAAGACTAAAATCAATGAAGAAAGTCCGTCTTTTTTGCGTTTATTAAGCACTAAGAAAGCTAAAGAGATTATGAAAGATGTTCCCAGGTTGAACCAGCCGAATATTGTGTCTGGAGTTGCAGCTGGAGGTAATTATAAAAATAACAATAGAGTGAGAAAATTTCTTTTATTGTAAAAAAAAAGCGTGTTTGATTAAATTTATGTAAATATTTTATTGGTAGAAATTTTTAAAAGTAATTATTAAAAAAATATCTTAAAAAGCACCCACGATTTTTTACAATAAAATTAATTTTTTGTTAATCACTCTACTCTTATTTAAAACTTACTCAAAATTATTTTCTACTTTTTAGTTTGGTTTGCTATTAAACCGTATTTTTAACTATTTTAAACTGTAATTTATTTCCAAGTTTTTTTAGTATAATTAAAAACCAAAAGCGTTAGATTGTAATATTTAACTTAATTAAAAGAAGATAAATATTTACTGTAATTTTATGAAAGGTGTATGTTTAACCTGTTAAATAAGTCACTTTTTTATCCTGATGATCCTGGTGAGGACTCTAGAATAAAATTATCAAAGTATTGTATTGCAATCGGTCCTTGATGCGTTTGCAAATTTAAAAATTAATCAGACGTCTTAAAGTCGGTAAAAATAACGTCGAAAGATTTAATTAAATAAATACACAGTTAGACTGATTAAAAAATAAAGATGATTAAAGAGAAAAAATGTTGAACCAAGAAAACTAATTTTTAAGAGTTTGATCATGAGTAAAAAATAAAAATTCTTTAATCAAGTAAAATTAAATCAACTATTTTTTGTTAAAGAATTTTTCTGGTTGATTCAAGGCAAATTCTTAAGAATTACTTTTTTGGTTCAAAATTTTTTCTCTTTATCATCTATCTTTTTATTATGACCATAAAATTAACACTTGATACTGTAGATGCATTTTTTTAAAAGCAATTTTTTACAACTAAATAATTTTTTTTATAAAATCCAAAAATACTCAACTGTACACTGATAGAAGAATTTATTAATTATAATTATTAATAATTTAATTTATTTAAAGACAATTATTTAATCTATTAAATTTTAATAAATATTTATTATTAAATCCTATGTTAAAAAATTATTTATTAATAATTAATAAAATTAATTAATTACAAACAAATGAGTAATTTTTTTTATAATTATAATAATAATTGTTTCAGTAATCTCCTACGCAGAGGTAATGAACAAGTCAGGAGTTTTATACATTCTCTACCTGGACAGTTTCTCCTTGGATTCATCAACAGCCTCTCCACTGCTAAAATTGCTGCCCAATTTGACCAAGAGCAGCCTGCCCTTATTATCGCCCTCCTTCTCTTCATTCAATAAAGGCAACCTGTATATGTACTTTAAATCTCTTTATTCCAGTCTCAACAATCCATATCAAAAACTTACAATTACATTTACAATAATAATAATTAAATTAAAAATTAAAATTAAAACTACAACCTGAAGCAGATGCCCTCGACAACAACCTTCTTACCAACAAGCTCATCGTCCAGGTTGCTGACGTAGCTCTTAGCAACAGAATCACCAGAGCCCATGTACCCAAGAATCATCGAGTTGGTAGAGTGTGTCCAGAAAAGGTCACCAGTAGCCTCTCCAGCGGAGTACCTGAGAGCTAGTCCGCCCCCTAGCTTAGAGTCCAGTCCGTCGAGAAATTCGGACTCCAGGAACTCGCTTTTCATGGTCTCGTGTAACCTGGGGACGTGGTCCGTCAACCCGGTCACGGCTTCCGCGATCGTTCTGGCTAGAGTCGTCCTTATTAAGTGCTCTCCACACCCGCTGGTGCTCGAGGCCACCGAACAGGCTCCGTTATGGGCCCAGACTCCGCAGCCCCAAATTCCCGCCTGGCCTACCCGTCCAGGGTACTTCAGGATTATCCCTCCGCTGGAACAAGCTGCTGCGACGTTTCCGTAAGCGTCGACACATACTGCTCCTACGGTGTCCATTCGACGCTTGGAAATTTTTGATGCTGAAACCTGTTAGAGGTTGGATTATTAAGGTACAAGAACCAGTTATTGACACTTGCAAATTTATTTTAATTAAAAAAAAAAAAAAAAAAAAAAAAAAATCAACTCTACACGGAAAAAACAAGATGACACTGGATATCATCCCAGATTATACTGAGTGAAAAAATTTCCATATAGTAGCTAGTATAATCCAGATTACAATGAGTATAACCCAGATTATAATGAGTATAATCCAGATATCACGCAGTATAATCTGGATTTTTTTTTTAGCTATTATCTGAAAATTTTTTCTACCGCAGATATCACTGAGTATAATCTGGGATGATATCCAATGTCATCTTGTTCTTTCCGTGTAATAAATTAATAAATATAATTTTTGAATTATAAATTTTAAGAAAATTATTTTTTTGAGAACATTTAATTTTTTTAATTAAAATACAATTGCAAGTGTCAAATAACTAAGCCAGTGTCAATAACTGGGTCTTTTACCTTATTTACTGTTTATTTATTTTATTTTTTTTATTTATTTATTTATTGTTTTTTATTGATTTATTTATTTCTTTACATAAAGACCCAACAGCAATAGCCAATAACAGAGTCATTAGAGAATAAATTTAGTGTCCTTTTTATAAAATTATATTACAAATAATATAAAAGAAAAATTAAAAACAATAATATTTTAATGTACTTGCATTTTGAAAAAAGGAAGAAAATTGAAAAATTTGTGTTTTAAACATCTGTTAAGATTTGAAACTTAGTCAAAAGAAATTAAAATTTTTTAATTTCTTTTTTTTTTAGAGTAAAATTAAGACGTCTGATAATTTTTATGATTTTTTTAACTAAAAAATTATGACTGGAAAATTTTTATATGAATTTTAAAAAATTCTATAAATCCAATTTTAGGAAAAAAATTTTCTAAAAAGTTGTATAAATTATTTTTTAAATCTAAAAATGGTCAAGTAGCTGATTACAATGTTGTATGTTATTTATTTTTTTTTTTTTTTTGAATAAAATTAAGACGTCTGATCATTTTTATGATTTTTTTTAACAAAAAATCATGACTAAAAAATTTTTATATGAATTTTTTAAAATTCTATGAATCCAATTTTTTAAAAATTTGTATTTTTTTTTTTTAATTATAGATTAAAATTTTTTTGTTAATTTAAATCTAAAAATGATCAAGTGTCAGCTGATAACAATGTGAATTTTTTTTTTTTTTAATTGTTTAATTAAAATATTTTTAATAAAAAATTTCTAAAAATTTTGAAAAGTCAGGTAACTTAATTTTCATCCAAAAAAATATTTTTAAAAAATTGCACTTGAAGTTTTTTAAGTTTTTTACAAGTGAAATTTTTTAAAAATTTTTTTACAATAATTATTTTAATGAAAAAAAAATTCTAAAAATTTTTAGATGTCTGCTAACTTAATTTTGATAAAAAATTATCAAAAATATAATTTATCTACTGACCTCTGAGACCTGGTCATCAAGCTTCCGCTTATAATGATAATAAATCTTTCTGGCCTTTGAAGAAATCAGCTCTTCAGCAGGAAGCGTCGCAATTCCCATCTCCGAGGCCCAGACTTGAGCCCCAGGACCAACAAGGACACTAGGAGGAACTCTTCCATAACTAATTTTGCTGCTCTGGTGCTCGCAGAGCCGCTTCGCCAGGGAAACCGGGTTCTTGATCCCGCTGACCGCTCCCACAGCTCCAAAGGAGAGCTTGTTCCCGTCCATCACACTCGCGTCGCACTCCACGTCCCCGTTCAGGGTTAAGTTTGACCCAAACCCGGCGTTTGTTAGCGAGGAGTCCTCCAGGACAGTCGTCGCCTCGACGACGGCGTCCAGGGACCGTCCACCAAGTTTCAGGTTCTCTATTCCAGTTTTGCAAGCGTCACGGCACAATTTCTGGTACTTTTTTTTCAAGGAATCCGAGTGGTGGCCCGCTCCTACGTGGACGGCTATAAATCCGTTGCTCGTCATTAGAAATTTTTTATATTTAGGAGTTTTATTTTTTCTACACTGTAATTTGTTTTGTTTTTATTTTTTTATTCACTTTGACGTTTTTTTTTTTTGTCAGTCACTTTGTTTATGTTTTGGCTCAGCTGCGAGTCACGTGACTTAAGGCGAGTTTTCATATAAATTTATTATTATTATTTTTAAAATTAATTAATCAATAATAATAATAATAATAATAATAATCTTTTTTTATAAATTTTAATATTATTATCAAGTATTTTTTCAAATTCTCTTTTTATACATTTAAAAAAATTTTTCTTGATTAAAATAATTTATCCAGGAAAAATTCTTTCATAAAAATTGAAAAAAAAAAAATTTTGTTAATTTTTATATAAATTTCAAAAAATTTTATAAAATTATTATCAAGGCTTAAGAATTAATTAAAATTAAACATATTTTATAAAAATTTATGATAATTATAATTATAAATTTTTTAAGATTTTTTTTTAAAAACTTCAAATTTTATCACAGAAATTTTTAATAAAATTAATGATTATAAAAATTCAATAATACAACAATAAATAAGTTACTAATTCTTCTCTAACTTCTTATTTTTATCATGAAAAAAATATCAGATTTAATTAATAAAAATACAAAATTATTACAAGCATATAAATATTGAGTGAATAATTTCTTACAAATAAATTTGATAAAAACATTTATTATAGAATTATAAAAAAGTTTCAAAAATTGACAAGAATTTTTTTATTTATAAAACTTGAAATATAAGAACAAAAACAAATATTTCTTAAATTTTTTTATACCTTACCTGAAAAAAACACACATTTTCATAAAATTTTTTATATTTATAAAATATATATTTTTGATTATTATTATTTTCATCAGGTGAATTCTCTGCTTCATTATTTTCTCAATACTACAAAAATAAATAAAAAATGATTCTTCGATAAATCATTTATTTTATCATCAAAAAAAACTTCAATATCAAATTCAATTAATAAAAATACATAATTATTACAAGCGTATAAAAATTGAAAGTACAACTAAAATTTTATAAATTTACTGAAAAAAAAAAAACCAATTAAGTGACCAATAATAACACATCTTCCGCTTTCCTGAAACAGAAAGATGATTTAAAATAATTACCTTCATGTTAATTGTATATCTATATAGTATTCAAATCCGATGCATTTAAATCATTACAAATTAGATTTTTTATCTAATTTGTGTATTTTGTAATTGGTGGTGGAGTAACTGTATGTCGACTCTAGTTTCTGGTGGTCACCAGTACATGTCCCGGCTTGTACAAATTAAAATTTAAATGTTGAGATCACACCCAAGCGACACAAAAATTTTTTTGGTAATATTTTGTTGAATTTAAGTTGACAATTATTAATTTTTGACTTCTTGTTAAATAAAATTTACCAAAAAGTCAACAATTTTTTATGTGACGCTTGGGCATTATTTGATCAGAAAGTTGGAGAGTATATAGGCAATTTTAGGCATAGGACTAGCCAAGAGAGTTGTGATGTCTTTCGAGACAAGATCTAACGAAAGCTTTTGATTATGTTAATCCAAGAGTAATTTTGACTACACTAGTTGAACTCGGTTTTTCGTGTGAGACCATTTCTTGGTTTTTCTCGTATTTAACCAATCGAACCCAATCAGTTGTAAATGAAATGGGCATACCCGTAAAATTCCTTGAAACAACCTCTGGAGTCCCACAAGGCTCAGTTCTTGGACCGATATTATTTCTAATAGTAATGAACTCAGTAGCTAAGCAATTAATTCATACAAAATATGGTCTGTTTGCGGATGACCAATTCATTTACCTTCATTTCTATATGACTATCAACTACAAGACGCTATTAGACAAATTACGATTGATGCTCAGGCTGATGTTGCTGATTGGACAAAAGAGAATGGCTTGCAATTGAACCTATCCAAAACTAAAACTATTATGATACTTGGCTCAAGTTCTAAGCTGAAAAAGTTACAAACAAACGGTATTATTCCACAAATTTTCATTGACGCGGATTTGCACTTCCTTACGTAGAGTCAACTAAGTGTTTAGGTCTTCATATTGTAATTGACTTATCTTGGAATTTGCATGTATCAAAGACTGTAAATAAAATTAATTCAGCGTTATACAGTTTAAAAATGAGAAAAAATATCTATACTAAAGACATTAGGAGGTTATTAAATCTCAGCAACTATTTTACCGCTTATCGACTATTGTTCTATAGTATTAAACTAGTTGTACTGCTGATAATGAGAATTGTAAATTGCAACGTTCATTAAATACAGCAATTCGTTTTATTTATAATTTGAAAAAGGATTAACATATTAGACCATACAAACGTGAGCTTGGATGGCTATCAGTAAAAAGCCACCGAATGTACTACTTAGCATGTTATTTTTATAAATTGTTGAGTATAGGCAAACCTAGCTACTTACGCGAACTATTTATTGAAGATATTGATACTAGACATTCTGTAAGACTTGCAGCAAAAAAAGTATTATGTTAATACCAAGTTACCTAAATTTGCGACAACTATTTATGAGTTATCTTTTATAGTTACCTGCATTCATCTCTGGGGAAGGGAAGAATTACCAATTGATCTGATAAATGCTCCCAGTATAGAAATTTTTAAAAATAAACTTTATGATTATCTTTTTAATCTAGATATTTTAATTCAAACTAAACTTTATTCAGTTAAATCATTAAAAGTATAAAAATCATTAAAATTATAATTATAAATGTTGTAAATTATTAGTTATAATATTTCACTTAAACTGTTTCTTCAAAATTAGTATATAAGCAATATTACTTTTACTCATATTTCATTATGTTTAAGTATATATAAGTTCTAATAATTATGTTAAAATTAAAAAATTTTAATATGTATTGTATTCACAAAATGTATATTTTTCTTTTGCCATCTGGCCAGTGAAGGCTTTGGCATAAATCAATAAATTCAATTCAATTCAATTCAATTTAGATAAAAATTTAAGCATCCACATAAATATATCCAGTAAAAAAAATAAGTTTGGGTACAAATGTCAGAAATTTGGGAAAATTAGTTAAAAAACCTCGCCGTGTTTGCTACATTTATGATCAATTTATATTATATAAAATTAAATACTTGATAATCAATAAATAAGTATTTGTCAAAACAATTAAATATATCCAAGATTAATTATCAATTATTTTTGTTAGAATAAGCATGTTAATAATTTAAATAATACGCTGGTCAACAATTGGTGTTATAAATTATTATCCAATTCCGGTTGTAGCAGCATATGTGGATGATCTCTTTCTCATTACACCAAGGGATAAAGTTGATATGGTTGTAAAGGTGTTCAATTCAATTAATAAAAACATCCAATTCACAATTGAAGTTGACCAAGATGGTAAAATATGCTTTTAGTAAATAAATAAATAAAATAAAAGTAAAAAAAAAATGTCAAGCGTTTGTTGATTTTTAGAAAAACTTTTTCCAATAAAAATTTAAGATTAAAAAATTTTACAGAAGGAAAATTTATTGTTGATTAATTTAAAAGAATTTTATTAAATTAAAATAAAAGTTTGATTAAAAAAAATGTTAAGATGTAAAATAATTAAAAAAATTCTTAAAATAATAATAAAAAAAAAATAATCTGGATTTGAAAAAAGAAGACTGTCAAGGTTGATCAAAATCAAAGATAAAAAAAGAATATTTAAATAAAAGAAATTTAGTTTATTTTAAGAAATAAAAAATGGAATTACATAAATTTGACTTGTTTCTTTTCTTAGTATGTTTAATACTTTGTGTTCATTATTGACCTCCACGAAGACGAAGTACTAAATGAAGAGTAGACTCTTTTTGAATGTTGTAGTCTGACAAGATTCTGCTATCCTCTAATTGTTTACCGTCGAAAATCAATCTTTGCTGGTCTGGAGGGATTCCTTCATTGTCTTGCATTCCTCCTCTCAGATATATAAAAAACTTAGTATTAATTTTATAACATATAAAAAAATTAATTTATAAAAATTCATCATTTTGGGTCGAAAGTTTGGACCCGTGTCCCCTTAAGTGTAAAACTTAATAATCGGATAATAATCTTGATAATTCATAATAAGCATGATATTGGCCGTATGGATCCAGCGTCGTCTCTTGGAATTTATCTGAAACATAAATTCTTATAAGAAAGATATATCTCTGAAATAAATAATAATATTAAAATTAAATAAAATGAAATTTTTACCTAGTTAATCCCACGTTTAGCAATATATTAAAGTAAATCTTCATCCGGCAAAGGCTCAAAAATGTCTTGAATCTTGTATTCCTCGTCAACAATAATGTCATCATCTTCAAGGTTATTTTCATTTGTTGATGGACTTGATATTTGAAATAGATCGTTTAGTTCTCCTGAACCAATTATCCCATCCTGGTTAAAGAACGGATCTGGTCTGTCGTCATCATCTCCGTCATCATCATCATCATCATCATCTTCGTCATCATCATCATCTCCGTCATCATCATCATCATCTTCATCATCTCTTTCCACGACGTCAATCCAATAACCACTCGTTTCAATATTAATTGTTGGAATACAAGGAACATCATTATTTGAATGCGATGTGCATTGAACACCAGGATTATTATCATCAACTTCGTTAGACTTTAGCTTCTTTCGTTCACTCACATCACTAGAAGTAGATGGAATTGGTTCTAGGTTCCTTTTTTTGACTTTATTGTCATATTTATCATTTTGTAAATGACTACCCTCATGTTCAATCATAGAACAAATCACAGATTTACATAATTTGTCACTTTCTTGACTTGGAACATTACCCTTCTTGTAATCGTAGTTTTCTTTAAAAATTGCTATGCACACGACAAATAAAACAAGTGTTAAAAATGAGAAATTTTCTAAACTCATTTTTATTACTTTATAATTTTGGAAATAAAAATACAATAATTTAAGACACGTTGTTTTACGTTTAGATGGAGACTGACAAATAATGCGAATTAGGAACACTAACTATTTTTGACAATACAATACAATAATCTTGTATGACTCATCAAAAAATCAAAAAATGACTCATCAAGTATAAAATTTCAATAAACTATTATTTACATTCCCTGATTCAAAAATATGATTTGAAATGATTGCCTTCATATTGATTGTATATCTATACATATATATAGTATTCAAATCCGATGCATTTAAATCATTTCAAATTAGATTTCTTAATCAGGGATTAACTTAGACTAAAATTTTTAAGAACTTTTTAAGAAGTTTTAAGAAGAAATTTTATTTAAATTATAATTATAATTATAATAGAGTAAAGGCTCTCAATATTGACCAGTTTAGATAAAATTAACATAAATACATTATTTGTAAATTTATTGGAAGAATTTATCATGAAAATTAAAGTAGCAGATATTCAATAATTTTTAGAATTTTTTTAAGAAATAAATTATAGTACAAAAAAAAATTATTAAAAAAAAATTGACATGTAAAAATTTAATAAATTAAAAATGCAATTTTTTAAAAATCATTTTTTGGAAGAAATTCTTTTGATAAATAAAATTAAAAAATTGAGAAGTGAGTGCTAACTCTAATATCATGAGTTTATCAGCTGAAACGAGTGTTTTCTTTTTTTTTTTATAGTTTTAACTTACAAACTATAATACTTTTGTTTATAAAATACATAATAATAAACATTTAATTGTAACAATTAACGTTACAGCTGATTGCTTTGAATATTGAACATTACTTACTAAATATTGACCGCCTATGTTCCAAATACTGACCAGTAGTATTATGCTTACTAGACTTGTAAATAATTTTTATTTAAAATCTATAATAGTTTGGACATTAGCTAATCTATTCACTGACATGTTAATAATTCAAGTATTGTTGTTAGTTGTTCTGTATTCTGATACAATATTATCTTCAGTGCTGATATTTAAATCAATGGCCGAAGCCGTACTAATATTAGGTACATTGGATAATTTACAATACCAATTGTTCACCAGAGTATTATTTCAATTATTAACAT